GTCGTCTGCACGCAACGAGCATGTTTCTCCCATCGAGACGCCGGATCCTGGTGACAGTGCGTCGTGGTGTGCGCGATGCAGGTGCGAGCGTGTCATCGATCGCGATGAGTCGGATGAGCTCCGGAATCCGCCGGGATTCTGCCGATAGCGCAGTAACCTCGATAAGGTATCGCGAAACGTGAGAAGGAAATCCGCCAAGTGGTATGCGCGAATGGCCGAGTAACGCGATAAACGATACAACGACGTGACGTGCAGTGCGAGCAGTGGCATCGATCGGCGATCTTAATTACCGGTCGTCGTGGATCACGAGTGAGTGAGTATCTCGTGACAAGAGCGTCAACGTCCTAACCCGACCGGCTCATTCGCGAAGGATAACGCGCTTTAATCGCGCGCTGATTAGCGGCTTGATGTTAACGGGCTTCCGCGGGCACCGGGGAGAGGCGGAAGACGTCGCATAGAGCAGGTAATTCCTGTCGCCGTGCTCGTCGCGACCCGCCTCGGCTTTTTTCTCGCGCGCCGATATACAGACATCATCCGTCAAACGATCCGCGAGAGGACACGGAGAGTCCGCGTCGAAGAAACTCGATAAGAGGCCCGGATGACGACGGGGATAACGAGGATTTATGGCGGATCGGGTGCTCCAGCATCGAGAAAGCCGAGTAGTTCATTACGGCCTCGGAAGAAATCTGCTCCGGGTGTTCCTCTGTGATCTATTCGCGCTCGTGACAGCTCGGGAGAAAGAGACGAGCCGGAGAGAATAGCGATCTGTCTGTCGACGTGCGTTTCCCGGGAAACTTTCGGGCGTTTCGAATTCGTAAGTCGAGGCTGAGTCGGTGAATGAAATTCGCAAGAAGGAGAGGAGGAGAAGGAGGAGGAGAAGCCATCCTAAAGAGACTTATAATAAATCATTGGGCATAAATTATAGCATTTTTCCTGACAGAGAGAGAGAGAGAGAGAGAGAGAAAGAGAGAGAGAGGAAGAGGAGGAGGTATTCATTACTGTTAAAAATCGCGCGCGTGTCGCGTCAACGGCCACTTAGCGGCACGTGCACGCTTGTCACGTGCGTGCAAATCGACAGTCACCGGCCTGCATCGGCCGAATGCATGTTACGTGCGCGGCCGAATTATCCGACGAGCAGCAAATCGTATCGATATTCTCGTGGATTTTCCGCGAAAATTATTGCGTTCATCTTTACACATTTCGAGACATTAATCTGACATTATTTTCCTAATTATACATAGTTTTACACGGAAAAAACAATTCTGTTGGTGCAATCGAATTTTCGGTTGCTCAGGGATCAAACTTGGCTGTAGGGACAGAAAAATTCCTTTATGAGGCTTCTATATAGTCAATTGTTCTCAGTTGAACCGAGTTCTAATATCGCTGAATGTTCAGACGAATATTTTCGGTTGCGACAATAGAAATATTAGTTTTCAAAACAGAGATATCACTTCTGATCATCTAATTTTCAGTTGGTTTCTATTCGCTTGCACCAACTGAGATTTTTTTTGCGTGTAGTTATTACTAAAGTCCTAATTATTAATAATCTTCGTTACATACACTGGAAAAAATTTTATGTAACTAAATGGGGACCAGACGAAAAATTCTCTGACAAGAAATAATATCTCTACAATCGTGAACGCGAAAACATTCGTATTAACATTCAGCTGCATTAAAACTCGATTGAGTTAACTGAGAACAACTGGCTGAGCAGAAACTTCTCCTGCAGGAGAACTTTCTGTTCTCATAACTGAGTTTTCGCCTGGTCCCTAGATAACAAAACATTAAAGAATCTTTTTCCGCGTATTAATAAAATTCTGATTACCGCGCTGCGTCACATGACTTATCAGGGTGATATCACATCACACCAATCAAGTAATCGACTGGAATCGACCTGTTCAGGGCTATAGGATAGACTTCGAATCGTGTGATCGGTTGGCGATCCGCGTGCGATCTTGACATTCAATCGTAGCGCTTGTCTAATATCAATTAAGTTATCCATTATTAGTTAAGATTTACATACTGATTAAAATATTAAGATGATGGCTGCCTGGGCGTTAGCGAGAAGGCGTCGCAGTATCGCAGGTAAACACCCGTGTCCGCAGCTCTCGCTCGTCGCGTTTTCGCTCGATCGCGGATCCGGCCGACGTAATCGACACTCGGATCGACGCGCGGGATCGATAAATCTTCGCCGCGATCGCCCGCTTCCCATGGGACCCCCATCGCCGGCGCTGGCATTCCGCCGGTGCGAGTAAACGAGCAAATTCGTAGGTTGCGTCCCACCTATACGTACGAGCCGCGTACGCGCGATCGAATCCCATAAGTCACGAACTCGAATACTGTGTTTAAGCGCCGCGAGCTCATTCTCGTCCATTATCCCGTGCGATGCCGTGCGTGCGAGGCACCGAAATATTTTCGAAGATCTTCTCGAGCCGGGGAAAGCTCGAAGACACGCGAGTCGTGTTTGCGCAGGAGGGAATCATCTCGACCGAACGGAAGATCGCGGCAGGTCCGTGAGATTTCTACGCGAAACCTCTCCGTAGGCTACTTATGTCGCGATATACTATTTTCTATCGTACACACTGAGAGGACGAATATCTAAAATTCAAAAAATATTTACTCGGTGGAAAAATCCGTGCGATACATTGCAAGACAATGGGTGTTTACGATAATTCGAGTTCGATTTAGTACGAGTTAATTTCGCTAGGGCCGAAAGATATGATAGGCACAAGCATCTACACGCAAAAAAATGTTAGTGCAACCAAATAGGAACCAACTGAAAATTAAGTGATCAGAAGCGATATCTGTTATTAAAACTAATATTTCTGTTGTCGCAACCGTCGCAATATCGTTGAATATTCGTTTGAATATTCAACGATATTAGAACTCGGTTGAAGCAACTGAGAACAATTGACTATATAGAAGCCTCATAAAGGAATTTTTCTGTTCCTACAGCCGAGTTTTCGTCTGATCTCTGAGCAACCGAAAATTCGAATTGTTTTTTCTGAATTATTCGAATTATTTTTGTAGTATCTTCATTATTCATGACAACTCAATGCTGTCCGATAAATTGAGTAGAGTAGAATTAGGGGAGCGTAGCGAATAGTATATATATATAAGAATTAACAATATCAGGTAATATAGTTTCGTAAAATATGTAACAATAATATTACAAAACAATGAGTTTATTACATTACAGAAAAATTAGTAGCACTAAATTAAATTATGAAAAAATATCATATATTTGTGAAATATCCAAAAGTAGAAACCTATTATTAACCACGATATTCTGTTTAGATTGCGTTGCCAATTTTCAAATATATTTTAGAAAATTTTTCTATAATGCTTCTATTAGCTTCTAATTTTTCTATAATGTAATAACTCATTGTTTTGTAATATTATTGTTATATTTTACTTGATTTATCGGACAGCATTGAGTTGTCATGAATAATGAAGATACTAGATGATTGTGCCTATCATATCTTTCGACTCTAGTAAAACTAACTCGTACTAAGTCAAACTCGAATTATCGTAAACACCCATTATCATCTTCTCGAAAAAGAAATTAATCACGCAAATTAAAATCCTGCGACTAGTTTTTAAAGGCATCAAGAATATTACATTTAATGTAATTATACATTTAAAGAGCCTTACTTCTATTGTTGGTTTATTCAGTGGATACTAATAACATATTTATTTATGCTAATATATTATGCTAATATATGAAATACTTTTTACATGAAAGAAAATATATATTTTCTTAAAATCTTAGCACGAAAGTCTTTTGAGAGGAGGAAAATCTGGCAAATAAAAAATATCTATTTCTGTGAAACAAAGTTCATTTCCGCGAATAAACTCTATATCGCACGCAATAAATTTTCAAGTATCTTTTGCTCAGCGTAGGGATGACGATTACAGCAATTTCTAGTTCTCACACGTTGCAAATGGCATTGCAACGTAAAGAAAAAAGAAGCTTGCAACATTGAAACCACTCTGAAACTTGTTGCTCGCGGTATGCTTATTAGTGAGAAGCGCGGAGTCAACAACTTAGAAATATCTTAGATCGCGAAGGTGCGACTCCAAGGTGCGTTGAAAGAGCACGTGGTATAAATTCGCGACATTCCGTGCAGGATAAATTAATTTGCGTAATCGGACCGTGATCTTGCGTCACGGAAATCGACTTTGCCACTCTGTAAAAATAGGAGATAAATAGTGACAGCGATGGATGATAGTTTACGCGTGTCAAATGACGATGCCAGATGAACGATTAGCGACGACTTTAATTGAACGTCGCGACTGAACGTGTCTGAATGTTAATTAGTGTTGGCACGCGATGTCGTCGTCGTCGTGGAAAATGACCCGATCAGGATCAAGATCGAAGTAACGGAAGAGAGCAATTTCGAGAAATATGTAAATCATCCGGTCAGTTCTTCTTAAGTCGCCGAGTTGACTTTCTCGAACTTTAAAATCCTCCTTTCTTTCGGTTTTGTCATTTGTCAATTAATCCGCATTTCACACTTGATTTATCTGTCAACCGAGTCGAAATTTTGGTCTTTATCTTAAATCTTGAATTCTATAACGCAGTAGGAGCTAAGTTAGTAGAAAGTTATATTGAGAAAAAAATACTTGAAAATTTGCTTGTGGAATATAAAGTTTAGTTAAAATTTTGTTTCACAGAAATTAATTTTATTTCACAGAAATAAATTATGTCCCACAAATAAGTTTTCAATCCTTTTTGAGTTTAATCAGAACAATAAATTTGTTTAATTCCAATCACAATTTACTCCTATTTTGACTTTTCACTTTCTTTAGTGTAAAAATTGGTTATATTATAGTAAAGTTTACTTCAAAACATCAAAATAGATGTTGAATAAAATAGCGAGGCTAAAAGCAGGATCAAAATTTCGACTCTCGAGAGTACTCATAATTTTCACTCCTTTCAAATCCGATCTGCTTAATCCGTTTTGAATTACCAATCCGACTGTCGCTTCTTGTTTCAGGGGACCTGAAGAGGCGACACTCCTGGAGCAGCGAGGTCGACTATCAGCCGGCGGAAACGGAAGCTGTGACCACCTCGGGAGAAGATCCCGCTGCCTCGGCCCCTTCGGACGACGACAGAATCTCCTACAAGGTGTCGTATCGAGTTTCGTTTCGTAATCCCTCATGTTGCCCTTCGAGACGTCTCGAGAAAAATTCAAGATATCTCGAATAAAATTCGAGACATCATTCTCGTCGGGATACCCCGAGCTTCGCAAAACTCAAAGAAGCGACGTTGTTTCTCGTCAATCGTCATCTCAGAAAATTCAAAACGGTATCCCGTAAAATTGCACATCCACTTGAGAATTAAATGCAACGTAACAAATAGTAACCGATGCAACGTTAATTCTTTTCTTTTTTTTTAACAAAGTGTTTAAAGCTTCTGACGTCTCGTCGCGGAAATCTCGATCGATGACGTTAGAAGCGAGAAAATACATACCCAAAATTCTTGTGGAAGATGCTGAAACACAAACACCTGTTCACAGAGCGATCTTTGGCATCGATTGAGCACATTTGTAAATATTCCGTGAACTTTTCTTTCGTTCTACCAATCGATAAATAACCGTAAGATTAAGGTGACGTGCCTTTCTTCTTAGCCTATCTTCCTTCGTGATTTCGTCACGTTAATTTATACGGCTATTCGTCGACTGTTAGAGCAAAGTTTTCGGGAATATTATACCGAGTGCGCACGATCTCTCGATCACGAGTGCGGCGTTTTACGGAGATTACCTACCATTTCGACGTATTCCATGAGAAATTTGGGCACGCGTTTTCTCGCCTCTGACGTCATTGGCGAAAATGACCGCGGCGGGGACACAGGAGCCTTGAGAAGAGAAGAGAGACGGAAGGGAAGAGCAAGACTTTGTCCTCCGCCGTAAAAATCTCGCTCTCGTCGGCGGAGGGTCTCACGGCGTTCGACCGAAATTACATTTCACGTGCACGACGAGCGAACGGATCATTGCGCCGTGCAACGGTGCATCTTCTTTTACTACTGCGGCCAGACAACGCCGGCGACCGTAAAATCCGGGCGAACGCGCGCTGCGCCGTCGCCCTCGGCTTTTAACAGCGCCGCGCTGTTACAACTGCCGCGGTTACAACTGCAGAAATTGCATTTCGAATTGCGTATCTGCTGCGTGTCAATGACACCGACAGATCGCCCGTGGAACGAGCTCGTGCCAAAAAAGAAATCGAGTTCCCTCAGGCCACATGATTCAGGCACTCGTTGGGAAGCCGAGAAACTGGATTTCCGCTGATAGAACGCTTGGAAAATACGTAACTCGTAATATGTACACGGAGAAAAATAATTTGCCGGCCCAGCAAATTTTCTGCTGGTCTAGCAAAATCTTTTCGTTGTTATATGGACAGCAAAAAGATTTGCTAAGAGTACTAATCACTATTTGCTGGATATAATTTACTGAATCTACAAATTATTTTGCTATAAGAACCACGATGGATATATAAGTAGTTGCAGTTTTGCTCCGATTGCTCCGAACAAATAGATTTGCTAAGGATACATTATTTTGCATTAATAGCAAATTAACATGATTTTTAGGACAAATGCACTCAACATATTTTTTCTATCCTGGCAATGAAACTACTTCTGCTCTGATAACGAATAATTTATAAAATTAGTTACGTCAATTAAATTTTTTTGATGTCGCTATGAATATGCAGTAGCAACGACGATTTTGCTAAAAGAGCAAAATTATTTTTCTCTACGTACGATTGCACGTTGACTATTACGCGATTTCTTTCGCTCAGCGAACAGATGACATCGCAACGACAGTAGTCCTTCTCGCCTATCGAGCACTCTCCGTTCCCTCAACATCTTTTCACTGAGAGAGAAGATCTTGCTAATTTAACAAAATACCAACAACAAGTGATCTGTCGATATGCGAGTGATCCTGCAGCAAATGATTTGTTACTTTCAATGTTCTGTTCTAACATTTCTGTAATGAGAAGAACTAATCTGACCTAAACAGACAAGAACAAATATGATTTGTATCTCAGGAAACATAAATGTGCTTGTTAAAATGACAAACGATGAGTAATGGTTTGCAACAATAATTGTTCGATCTGTTTCCCTCACGACCATCAAACAACAAGCCTGCTTTTGTTCTGATAAGCCAGGGGATTTTTCTCAGTGCGATCATAATGATATTTCGTCAGACGAACCGATCGAAAGAACCGATGTCTTTCATCGGATGATTCCTTAATCGGATACAAAAATCGCTCAGTATTTCATCGGCAATATCCAGTTGATAATTTTTTTATCGGATAATTCTTCTCAGTGCACGCTTTCCACGCCGAAGACGAGAACAAAGATCACGATTCGCAATAGCCGGGCTCGTTTTTGCGGAATCGCGCGCGGCCCGGCCGCGTCCTTGGCGGAGTCCTTTATGATTGCGCCACGAGGGAACGTGGAGCATCGAGGTATCGCATCCAGTGCCCATCCACGGCGAGCCATCGCCATCGAGACTGAGGAGAACGAACGGCCGCGCGCGCGCTCGTTACATCGTCTAAAAATACCCCCGACGTTTCTTCCCGCGATTTTCTCCCTCCCCCTGCCTCTCTCGGTTCCTCTCGGCCCCCCCTGTATGCATCTTGCACCCTCGTGCCGTGCATCCTAACGCGAGTGAAGCGAAGGGTGGTCGCCCTATACATGGAGGCGCGATAGCTTCCGAGAAGCGATGCAGCCTGCGCTCGGTGCAGAAAGATGCATCTCGAGCGTGAAATCGGGGGAATAGAGGCGGTTATTTGCATTCAGCGTGTTTTGCGCAAGAATACGCGGAGTTGCGAGAAAGTGAGAGAGCGAGCGAGCGAGCAACACTGAGAAAAACTCCTGTATTATCAGGACAAAAGCGCGTTTGCTGTCTGATGGCTGTTAGAGAAATAGATCAAAACAAAATTTAAGCTAAAAACAACGAATTCGCGCGTCTAAGCTAGTTGCTGATTCTGTCTCCGATTTAATGGAGATATTGCGTTTTCGGAACGGATCTCCTCGCACGTGTAATTTGCGCGTTCCCTGGATGGATTAGAAAATGGCGATAATCATCGCGCGACCCAGTCGTCGTCACGAAGTTGCCGTGTCGCCTCGTAAACACGGCTTCCAACGAGCCGCGGTTTCTTTTCCGAAGCAACATGACGTAACGCGCATTGCTACTCTAGTATTACCGCGCGTTATTACTCCGATGTAATTCGCGCACACGGCAGCACGCGGCCAGTTCTAAATCAAGGTTGCAGTTCCTCTCGGCGATTCTTAATTGCGCTCGCGCTCGCGCGCACTCTCGAGGGGATTTTATTGCACTGGAAAAACAGACGTCGCGTTACACCGCGAGTACCGTTAACCCCGCGGACGAGAGGACGAAACAGGAAGAGAGAGAGGCGAGAGAGGAGAGAAGAGCGGCCGGCAAAGAGCATAAACGTGTAAACGGCTGATAATGATCCCGAGGTGCGGAGACATCGTTACGGGAAGACGCCGCGTGAAATAGAAACGCGAACTTTGCGAGCGCGTCGCGGCTGCGTCCTCGTGGACGCGTCCCGCCTTAATAAGACGAACGAAATGTGGCTGCGAACGCCACAGCCTCGAACAACAGTTCGCCGTCTCGGAATTCGCGGCGTTGTCCTTTTATCGCGTCGTTCCGAGTTCATAATCGCGCTCGTTCCCTCGCTTTCGCGGCCCGTGGCGTCGTAAAGCGATGCCCACGAAGATAATTCCGATAAGGGTGTCGTCTCGCGCGCTTAATAAAGTGGGCCACCTGAAACTGGTCCAGGAGGCGAACTTCTTTCGCCGCTCTCGAGCGCGACTCTCATGAATTTTTATACTCCGGATTGTCCGTCGGCTGCATAAAGGAGAATCACTCGCACATTTTATCGAGGCCACTGCTGCCAAGAGCCATTGACACCCGTGCGTCTTTCCGCAACGTTCACCGCGACCTATGACCCTTACGCCACCTATGACCCATTAATTGTTAATTAATAGTAGCATAGCAATTACTTAATAATATCGACTAATTTATATTATCTATTACTATCTATCTATCTTACTATATCATTATCTATTACTATTAATATTATCGACTATAGTAACAGTTAACAACTGTCTGCTGATAATCACAACATAATTCGTAAAATAAATTCTTTATTCAGTGGAATCAATTGAATAGTTTGCTAAATAATATCAAATAATTTGGTTGTTTTGTGTATCTCTCTATCACGCAATGCGACGAGTATTGCTAAACGATATAGTTTTATTTGATAAATTGTTGGATGATGCAACTGGTAATTGTCACCAAGTCTTACAGATACTAAGCCTTACTAGAGTTATTTGTTAATAATTATCAAACTATTTGATTATATATTCACTTATACGTTTTTAGGTGAAATTATTTCACTGAGGTATCTGGTATATAGACAGAGAGATACTTGAGAAAGAGAAATACTTGAAAATTTATCTGTGGAGTATGAAGGTTATTTCATAGAAATAATGTTTATTTAAGTATAAACTTTATATTTCGCAGAAATATATACTTTTTTGATATCCTACAAAGAAATATTCAAGTATTTTTCTTCAGTACGACTGTTATATAGATCTGTTATTGCCAGACCTGCTTTCAGATGCGTCCCCTTGAATTTCACGTTCTCAGAACGCGATTTTAATTCGCGATCGGCTTGAAGTTCAGACATGTCACTTATACCATTTGCTCGCCGCGTGTTTCTCGCCGACCGATCGTTTTGAGCAGGTCGTGCACGTGCACGCGGGACGAGCGGTGCGAAATTCCGCGTCTCCAATGCGGTTTACGAGGTGCCTCGATCGCCCGCGATCGCTTCGCGGCGAACCCGTCGTAGGGCGATTTTTTCCTCGCCGCGCCATATCGTTTCGTTAAGTGGAAAATAGACCCGGCGAGATCCTTGATCGATCTCGCCGAGGTGCGCGGAACAAAAGCGGATTGTTCCGCCGCTGTCGATCGCCAGCGTTAGCCCTTCCCCCCTCGTCAAACGATCGTCTCGGTGTCCCGGGATCCTGCGGGTTCGCGAGAGGGGGCGGATAAATCTCGGGAGGGTGCTGTTAGCGCGTCGCAGCGCGAATGAAGGATGCGCCGTGGTGCGCTTTAGGCCCTGGCTAAATACGGGATAGGCAAACGCGTAGATAGCGCTTTATTATGATTTACGACTTTCGAGCCGACCGGCTGCGGCCGCGGAAGATACGCGTGGCGTAAATTACACAAGCGCGGGGTAAAAAGGAGGCAATCGTAAATCAGGATAAAAATACCGGGCCCAGCGGGAAGGGGGGAGGAGAAGTGACGAATGAAGGGGCAACGAACGAGAGACGCCAGTGTGCGATCCGCGCTGATGCACTTTGGGATCGTTTACAGGACGTTTCCTTTAATCCCTAAAGGACGAGCGGTCCCCATGTGGTATCATTGCCTTTTTTTCGTAAACTATCCATCGAGTCGGATCAATAGACTTTGTATATATTGTAGAGATTTTCGGAGTCGCTGATCGTGAGACCGAAGTCGAAATTTAAAAATTCGGAAAGGTCGATTCAACATTACAAATTTGTATACTTTTAAGCCAATGTATATGAGAATGAAATTATAGATTTCTGGGGTCGCTGATCACGAATAAGGTCAGAACTACAGATATCAAGTCTTGTTGCTTTCAAAATGGCAGACCAATTCAATATGATGATTGAAATCAATAGTTTTTATATGCGATAATTTTTCTGATCTTAGATTCGTGATTAGCGACTTCAAAAACATGAATATACATTTTAGCGCAAATTGCCTGAAGAATATTTTAAGCCGCCATGTTAGATACGTCATTTTTAGTTTTGCGATTTTGACTTCAGATTTATGATCAGTAATCCCAAAAACTTGTATCAGTTCATTTTTGCGTAGATTGCGCTAAAAATATAAAAATTGGCAATGTTGAATCCGTTATTTTGAATTTTGAAATTCTAATCTCAGATTCGCAATCAGCGACCTCGAGAACAACCCTATACAAATTAAAAAAAAACTTTATAAAAAAAATATATATATATACTTCCTTGTCCTTTAACAATTAAATGGGATGGTGAGTGGAAGAATTATTTATACATTCCGCTTTGAATAATTTCACATAAGAAAGAGAGAAGAAGAGAAGAGGAAAAGAGGGAATAGATTGCGCTATGAGATTTTTTGATGTCTTGATAGGATCACCTCGAAGAGTAGAAAATGCGGCTGGCCGCATCGCGCAGACCGCGGCGAGAGTGGCGTATGCATTCCCCGACACTGGCGTCCTTCGATCTGTCCGAAGAAAATCGAGAGGATCCCTCTCGCGAAGGTAAAAGTGGTGGCGTGCACGATAATTCGAGCTAAGACCTTATAATTAACCGCGCGAGAGATGGTGGAGGGCGCGGGGATGACAGGGAGAACGGAGCCGCGAGGAGGAAGGGGAAAGTTCGATGAGAAACGTAAGGGCAAAAGGAGGGTAAAAAGGGAATGAAAGGGAGATAAAGACTGAGAACTCTCTCGGACGTTTTGGTAGGAGGAGAAAGAGGAGGAGGGTTACGTAGAAGGGAGGTGAAGAGGGCAGGGATGTAACCGGGGTCAACGGGGTTAAGTATTCCGCGGAGGGAAACCGCCGCTTCACGGAACCCCCTCGCGCGAAAACGTAGAAACGTGTGATCTTTATACACGAGAATCGTAGGCACATGTAACATTTTATTCTCACGCTCGCGGAACGAGGTGGATGGATGTTGTCATGAGAAATTATTGTAGTGTGACATAGCAGCGCGAGTTTCGACGCGTGTTGTCCCGCGAATGGTTGCATTAAGGCTCCTGCGCCCTCGCCGCGGCCATCTTGGCTAATGGCGTCAGAAGGGAGAACACGCATGCCGAAAATTCCCGCGGAATATGTCGAAATGAACGATTATGTGCACAAAATGACACTTGCGATCGATTGAGCAGATGTGCAAAATATTCCCTTCCCTTTCACTCGACAATCAATAAACAGCCGCAGAAATTAACGCGACAAAATCATGAAGATGTGTTAAAAAGGAAGATTGCGTGTCGCGTTAATTTCACGGCTATTAATTGATCGTCCGAGCAAAGGGAAAGTTTTCGGAATATTTTACAAGTGCGCTCAATCGATCCCAAGGGACGTCACTATACGGACACATCTCTTTACCTCAGCGTTACTTCCGCAAGAATCTTGCGCACGCGATTTCTTGCCTCTGACGTCATCAATCAAGAGGGACCGAGGGACCGAGGCGAGCTGCCTTAACGTTCATCTCAACCGGAACTGGAGACTCATCATTATCGATCTATTTGTCTGGATCGTGCAATTAGATTACCGACTGCTATATTTACGTTTTCTTTACGGTTACGAAGTACATCGGCGTCGCCGATTAAAACAGGGGAGCAGGGGCAAGAGGCGCAGGGTACGGAGCGCGACTCAGAACGGACGTACCTTATTATTCGCTAGAGCGACATAGCGTTGCAATTAGACCGTTGCGCGCGCGCTCCGCGAACGGTTCCCTCTCGCATCGATCAGACGGACATAGGCGGCCTGAATCCTGCTCCTCTCACAAGGACTTTTATTTTGCGCGCATTTAACGGTGCCGTGTGGACGACGAGGTCGCGCACGCGAGCGCGCGCGCGCGCGAGAGAGAGAGAGAGAGGGGTAGAAAGAGAGAGAAGTAGAAAGGGAGAGAGAAAGAGAGTGGTTATCACTTGTGGAGTCCGATAAACGCGTCGATGCATATTAAAGGCGCATTTCACGCTCAGCTGGACGAGAGTCCCCACGGTCAGATATCGCGAATAACTATGCGCCGGACGGACAGGATGACTTCGTTCTCGCGCGATCGTTGCCCCCGTGATGCGTTACCGTCTTTGGTTTCGACTGTTCGATTTCGGACTGCGCGCGATGCTCGCCGCGAAATTAAGGCTTCTAGCCCCCCCGCCGCGGCCATCTTGATTTATGACGTCAGAAGGGCGAGGAAATACATGACCAAAATTCCTGCACAGCATATCGAAGTAAACGGATATGTTCCAAAAGTGGCACTGGTACAGTCAATTTAAACATACCTCTAAAATACTCCGAGAAAGCACCTCCCCTTTGTTCCGACGATCTATAAATAACCGTGAATTCATCCGATGAGATAACGAGGAAATGTAGGTTAAAAAGGAAGATTGTACATCACGTTAATTTCACGGTTACTTATTGATTGTTAGAGCAAAGGGAAGGTGGTTGGGCGATATCGGAGGTACGCTTAATCGATTGCAAGCGTCACTCTTTCGATGTGTCCTTTTATTTCGATGTACTCTGCAAGAATTTTGGGCATGCATTTCCCCGCTTCTGACGTCACCAATCAAGAGTTACGTGGCGAGGTACCGCGGGAGCCTTAATCAATAAAACTCGCAGGATATAGCGTAATTTATTCCACTGCACGATAACGTTAAAAGTAAAAATGCGTCAGGACACAGGGCCGTACACGGCGGGGATTTTACGAGGAGGCCGGCAACGGTGACGAGGTCGTCCGTAAATTTCGCACCGGGGCCATTTGTTTGTACACGAAGGGGAGAGAGAGAGAGAGGGAGAGAGAGTGAGACATGAGAAGAGACGAGAAGAGGGGGAGGGGGGCAACGACCGTAAATTTCCGCGGCGCGGTAAAGCACGAGCGGCAGAGGGGGAGGGAGAGGAAAGTAAGGGGGCACCGTGGGGCTCCGCCGAATAATTCATCTCGGCGACTCGCCGCTGCGCGGGTTAATTGAACACCCATGAGACGCATTAATAATCCACTTTGTACGCGAAAGGAGATGGCCCTCGCGGCCTCTGCAGAGCCGACAAGAGGGGGCAGAAGCCGATACAAATTACCCGTGCCCCCTTCCGGGCTACGGACTTTGAATCAACCACGTCGTGCACGCATTTCTGTCTTTCCTAATAAATATTGATTTTTTTTTTATAACGCCTTTGCGTTTTCCTTGTTCTCTCTGTGCTCCGTTTGTCCTTTAGTTCGCGCGTCGACATGGAAATACGGGGGAGTATCCGGCGAATGATCGTTTTCATTGAGGCTCGAGCGCGCTCTCGGCGGCCCTGGATCTCTCCTCTCTCGTTCTCTTCCTCCTTTTCCCCCTTTCAGGAGATTCGCTGGCCACCTCGATCGCGACCACGGAAGCGCGATTTATCTCGCGCAAAAACCGCTTCCTCTACTGGGTGTCTCGGAGACATCGAACTCTAGTCGGACTCACCAGTGGATTCTGCAGTAAATTCAGAATGCAACATCTCCTCGTAAAAGATCCGACGTGAAGAATTCTGTTCTCTTTACTGTCGAACGTTAATGCGGTATTATTGCTCCATTGGCTCTGATAGCGCGTTCTGCAACTTGGAAACTCGCTGAGGAGCTTGCACCAGATGCAAGTTATCGGACACATCAAAGGAAACGATCGCTCTGCACGAGAAGGATCGTCTTATCCCTTTCTTTCTCTCTCCCGTCAAAGAATATAAAGATGTAAAGGATACGTCTTGCAGCTTCCTGCTTCGTTCCAAGCGAGTAACTTCGCTCTAGATATGCAGGGGCGCGACGCAACATAAAGAAATATCGCACGACATTACACGGTATTACACGCGTCTCGCGAATAGTAAGTATTAATTCAACCGGAAAAACAGGAAATACCGTCGAATACATACATATTTGCCAGCGCGTTTGCTGCAACTGTGTATTAATCAGAGTTGTGAAAATATCAATTAAATTTTTCTTAATCTAATAATTGATTTGAACAAATATATTTCAATTCAACTAATTAACAATTGATTCAAGCAAGACCGAAGAATGTTTAATTGACGATTGATTTCAACGAATTCAATTAAAGACCGTTTAATTGACGATTGATATGAGCGAACAAATTCAAAGATCGTTCAATTAACAATTGAACTTAACAAATTTAATTAAAAAAAATTAGTTGATTATTGAACTTTGCAAATTTATCTCATATCAATCGTCAATTGAACGGTTCTTAATTGAATTCGTTGAAACCAATCAAACGGTTTTTCGATTGAATTGCATGAAATCAATTGTCAATTAAACTGGCTCATATTAATCGTCACTTAAACACGATAAATAATTAAAAAAGTAATTACTCGCAACCTTGATACCAATGCATGATAATCAAGTTATAATAAAAATCTGTAAATTATGTAGAATTATATGTGGAAAGAGAGAAACATAGTCATAATTACTAAAAATTGTATGTATAAAAAAGTTATGAAACCATCTTGCAAGTAAATCTATCCAATTTCTTTCTAATATGGCACAAATGTAGAAGTACAAAAAATATTTAGGAAAAATATTTTTTTTATTTTAGCTTTGAATTTTACGGGTAGTTTTATAGTTTTAATGTTTTAAAAACATTTAATGTTCTCTTTTTAATGTTCTCATCAAGTGCAACAAAAATGCATAAGAAATAAAATTGAATACAAGATATAGGCGTTTTTGGTTTGCTGATTATGAATATGAGGTCAAGTGTGTAAAATTATTTCTGTAAATAATAAAATATTTAAACAAAACATGTATAAAGTTGAAAAAAATTATTTATACAAATAATTTCTCGGTTTGGCCGAGATTCGAACCATTTTTGACTAATTTAGCACAGATTTAAAATATTTTGGTTGGAATCTCGGCTAAAAAAATTTAGAATGATCTCAGCTATGCCGATTTTGTTAAAATTATTTAACTATACCTTGTATTCAATTTTATTTCTTATACATTTTTGTTGCATTTGTTGATGCACTGAGAGAAAAATGTTTGGTATTTGTAACTATAATTATATAGAGAAATAGTTACTATAAATTATGGTCAAGACAACCATTTTTTAGTCAATTGTATTGTAATTTTAGTGATAATAATTTTATATGCATGTTACTGCTACTATCTACGTGTTGGAACATGCATATAAGGTTATTATCACTAAAATTATAGTACAATTGACTAAAAAATGATTGTCTTGACCATAATTTATAGTAATTATTTCTTTATATGATTATAGTTACAAATATTAAACATTTTTCTGTCAGTGTGATAGGAGTGAGAACATTAAAAAGCCATAAACTGCCCGTAAAGGGTGGGTCAAAATGAGAAAATATGACCTAAATATTTTTTGTACTTCTCCATTTATGCCAAATTGGAAGGAAATCGGAATGTACCTTTTGTGGGGTAGGTTTACTTGTTAGTTTGACAATTTTTTAAGATTATGTTTTAAGATTTTTCTTGTTTTTTTTAGGAATATGGCCGTTCGATGCAGACGGTGGACCTGGTGGCGGACTGTCCGTTGCAGGTCGTGACGGGTAGCTCGAGGTCACCGTCACCCTCGAGATCACCGACGCCTTCGCTGCCGTCGTCCGCAACGCTCCGCACGTCGACGGGGAGCATGGGGCAACGGTCGAGCGCCTTGTTGCGCCCCAAAATCTCCCTGACTTGGGTTCTTCGTGGCCAGCAGCAACCCGGGCCTAACGGGCCTTGTCCGACTAGCAATGGAAGCGGAGGTAGAATCCGCTGTTTCTTCTTCATTTCATTAAACTTCCCTTATTTTCTAAACCTTATCTTGAATTATTACCCAGTAAACACAAACAAAGTATTATCCATATTATAATATCAGCTCAATTATATGGTATATTATGTAACTGTTACTTTGTTATATAATGAAGTGTTGTACTGGGTAATTATCACAATAGATACTATATATGTCACGTTAAAAAATGCATCTATTTTAATAAACAATAGCTACGTGAAAATAACGAAATTTGTTGAATAAGAACGAGAAGACTTTCTCTACACTGAAAGAAATATCAAGAAATAATAAATATTTATTTAGCGAGTATACTAATAGCATATATTTACTAAAATCTAAGTTATTTTATTTAGATAGAATAAACAATTACTTTCATAAAAAAACCACGGGGTTTTCTTGAGATTTAAAAAAAATATTTATATTTCCTTATTTGAAAAATATTTTATATTAGTTTAAATAAATATATGTTACTAGTATCTATTGTATATAAAAATATTTACTGTTTCTTAGATATTTTTACTCTCAGTATATGAATTCTAAAATGTTTCATTATTTTATACAAATGAGTGAAATCATGCGAATTTCTCAAAGGTACGAACAGCGATCGAGATACTTTGTCGCGAGGCAGTAAAGAAAGGTCTTCGAGGAGGAGCGTCAAAAGTGTCAAGGAGAAAGATACTGGTAAAGAAAATATCGAGAATAAGGAGACTGTCGAAAAGCGGGAGAAGAAGATTCTGCATAGGCTTGAGAAAATCGAAAGGACCGAGAAGGTAAGAAGAAATCGCTCAATATAAACCACCTGTTTCTTTTTGTAGTTTCTATACTTCTTCGAAATAATTCTTCCTAAGATTATTGGCAAGGAAACGATCGGGAATGAGGGACGACTGGAAAGTCCGCTGGAAAAGCAACACTCCGATAAGGAATTCGTGAGCTTAAAGGATACGAAGGAGAAAGTGAAAAGAGCTGTCTCCGAACCCTCCCTGGTGTCGCGAGAGTCAACTTCGACGCCCAGCGGACGAGAAAAACACAGGCACAGACGAACCAAACGCTCGCACAAACCTAGACCACCCAGTAGATTCGGCTACGAAATCGCCGATCTCGACGCGTTCTTAACCAAGGTGATTTCGCTTTCACTTTTCTTACTTTAGTCCAACTTCATACACTGACACACACATAAAAAAAATTGTAGGCTTCTATAGAGAGACCAGCAAATATTCCTGTTGTCCTGTCTTTCCCGTCGGTGTTGTATCAGACCCAAGGTGGAACTCAGGACGAGATGGCCCTGCCTCTAGGTACAGTTGTGAATGCAGTCTTCAAGAATCAAACCTGGTTATATGTGCAAACTCCTCACGGCCAAGAAGGCTACGTTGGCTATGCCGCCTGTTTACCCCTCGGAATCCTACCACAACCTACGCGAGGACCCTGTTGGGAAGATTCTACTGATGTCTTCCCTCGGCCTCTTGGTACGTGAAATTCTTCTCGACGATTTTAACGAAAATTACACAAATCTCTTCAGTACGAAAAATCCTAAAATCTTTGAATTCTCGCAATTGTTGGTATCAAATTTCTGACATTGCAAAGTATGTAAATTGATAAATATTCATGTATCAAAGATAGATCACAGATAGATTGTAGATTCATGTATCAATTATCTCGTGCTGTCTTTTAACTTTCAGGGAACATGACCGACACGGAGAAGCTTCGGGACACCCGGTCAGAGTGCGGGGGGGCTCGCGGTCGTAGCGGCAGAGTTCGGCGGAGTTCTAGAGACGCGGTGTCAGCGTGCGGCGAGCGTAGCGTCGACCGATTGTACCTGAGAGCGGCGGCAAACGCGCGCACCAAGGGTTCGCGACACACGTTGCTGGTGATCAGGAGTGACTACGAAGCGCGCGGCGGCAATGCACTGACAGTGTCCAAGGGCGACGTAGTTGCCCTACTAAGCGACCACGTGAGCGACTGGTTCTGGGTGCGCTCCAGAGACGGGCGAGAGGGCTTCATCCCAGCGGTCATCGCTGGCCACGGCTTTCTCTGATCGCCTTCTGTCACCGAGACAATAGATTCAGCAAGGGTGACATCAATTCGAGTCTTGTAATATAATCTAATCTCTATGTCTAAGTATATCGATACGTGCACCGAAGAAAATGACGATCTGCGCGTTCATATTATCGAATTTAATATAATTCATTGCGACACGTTTAATTTATTTTTAAAGCTGTGGTCAAGCTGCGATATTACTCGTCGATATATCTCACATTGTACAAACATAAAGCAAGATTTAAATAGTTATTAAGTTCATACTTGTGAGAATTCGATTAAGTTATTCTTACTCTGCGAAATCAATGTTCTCGAGCCGAACCAAGTTGCTTTTTTGTATCAACATTAATTTAATGTTCGTGATCGTCTAAAGACGAATAGATTCTTGGTCTTTTGCCAGAAATCGCACGCGCGCGCGCGAATATTCGTAATGGCGAACGAGAAAGCAATGTATATTTGTACAAAGGAAGTATCGTATCTCATTCAAAATGTATACATACACTTTATTAATATATATATATATATGTATATTTATTAAAATGGAAAAAGAAATGTCATTCTTACATTCACTCTTCTGTCGATCACGCGAACTTGAGTATCATCTCGCGATAATTGAAGTTCGTGCAGAGGTCGAGGTGATTCGAGGAACCAGCTGCGCTTAGCACCTTCTGCGGTAATTCCTGATAGACGACACTGTAGACAGTATTGCTGGACGTGGGTACCTTCGCCAGCGTTTCGCCCTGATATGTTATATGATAGATATAGGGGGCTGCACCGGCCGCAATCACGCGCTCCTCGTAGATCTCTGCTACGTGAATGCCCTGATCGGCCAGATCGAAGATTGTTGCCGCTTCCATGGTGCGCATATGCCATAGTGACAGGCTGGGTCCACCTCCACATAGCTAGAATTATATTTAACTAGCTTAAACTACTCGGCATTGCCCGGGTTATCATAAAGTGTCAAAGGGAATATATTGACAGACATTCTATCTTGTATAGATCTTGTATCTATACGTATAAATAATTTAGAATGTATAATAATTTTTATAATCGCTGTAAATTTCAGACTAAAATGATTTTAAGGCTCCTGGTCCCACTGCTGTGAGACCCTGGACTGATAATGTCAGAAGCAAGAAAATATATATGCATAATTCTTACATGCCATTTTGAAATAAAAAGAACTTGTATAATACTTCTGATTGCTCAAGTATAAAACGTTATAAAATGCTCTAAAAACTATCCTTTCCTCTTGACAGTTAATAAATAGCGTTTAAAATTTCACAGTTAATAAATAGCAGTTAAAATTTCGTGACATGCAATCTTCTCCATTTTATGGCTATTTATTGACTGTCAAGAGGAAAAAGATAATTTTCAATATATCATCAAATTTTACATCAGTGAATCATCAAATCATCAAATATGCTCAAACAATTCGGAGTGTTCTTTCATACAATTGTATTTTCTATTTTAAAATAACACACAAAAATTTTCAAAATGTCATTTCTCACTCGTAATTTCACAATCCAATATAATCATGGCGAGTACTCAAATATGCCTTAAGTATAATTACATACCAGCCAATCCTCTGTAAAATCTACAGCACCTATCCACATTCCCAATCGTGGTCGAGCGACTTTATCTACTAAATGTGGCGTTAATATATTAGTATTCTCTCTCTTGCGCAAATCCCATAATCTCACAGAGCCATCTTCGCTGCAGGACGCAAGCTGATTACCCCTAAAATTTGTGATGCCTTTATTTATAAAATAGATGTAATTTTTATTTGTAACTCATTTGATATGGATAAATGATAATTACATTACAGCAAGGCAGTGAATATAATCAGTGTGGCCTTGCATATCCCTCAAAATTCTTCCATCTTCTAAGTTTATAATATATATATTATTATCTCCACAGCCAGCATATAATAATTTATTTGACTTTGAATACACCATATAATTTACATCTGGTTTCTCATAACTGTCTCTGTAAAGATGAATTATTATGTTCCTTTTATCTTAAAAATTATAATTGCATAATATACAATTAAAAATATGATAATACATTGCATATTTTACGCTTTCAATTTCTCTTTGCTTACTTGTTAGTTGGAATTTGTATACTCCATGAAATTTTACTGTTAGGAGCTTTATTGGAAGTCACCATCTTCCAATCCCATCCTGATATCTCACCACGTGTTCCTGTCACGAAAAAATTTTCTGTGGACAACATACATGCAACCTGCTGGTCAGGATGTGCAGTAAAATGATAATTGGGTCCTTGTAATTCATTCTCTTCTACTTTGTTGGGTCCTAAGGCTCTTGACAGGCTGTTTAGGAATTAAACATTTATTTCATTAAATGTGAGAAATTTAGTTTTTGCTTATGTTAATGTATCTCTTAGAAAAGAATTTTCAGAATTATGCTTTATATATTCTACATATTGTATATTTAGAATACAAATACATATAATATATGTATATTGTAAAATACTTACTCAAACACTGACACATCTCCATAAATATTGCCAGCCAGTAAATAATTTCCATCAGGAGAAAAGGTCTGTGATAGTACGGTGTTATAAAATAACTTTTGCCATATAGTGTTTGCCATTTCGTCCAACTCGTTGTTTTGTGAGGTTAGGTGAAGTTCAAGCTATGTTAAATCATATTAGAAAAAAAACTTTATAATGTGTGAACAATGCGCCATAATTTACGATAAGAAATGAGAATGTATCTGGCAAGTGAGATTGATATATTACCTCGAAATTATAAACCGTGTGTAACACATAAAAGACTCGTATTGATACAGCACAGTTTCAAATGTATCGGCACTGTTTTGGAGTCGAGTTGAATACGTGAGAGCAGCATAAATTTTCACGAATACATATTTAAACATATAAGATAGAAAGAGCGTAATAAAGCAGTAATTAACATAATTTTTGCGCGTTAAAAATAAAAAATTATTATTACGTGTTTTATTATGATGCATTAAGCCCATTCTACAATTGCGTGAACGTGGTGTATGTGATTATGACAACCAATCAGAATAAAGCAATCAGTAAATAAAACATTCGGATTGGTTGACTCTTACGCCGATTACGCTTACGCAATTGTAGAATGGGCTTTACACATAGGCTGCGTTCCGTGTTATGCAATGCGCGTATTTATCTATAGTTTATGTCACGTATACTGTAGGAAATACGCGCTTCATGCGCAACTCGGAACGCAACATAGAAATTAGGATTACTTTTACTAGACCGGGGATAAAGGTGTGATTTATTACACGTTACAAATGTTTTGAAACGTATAAACCAATCATGGCTAATATGTCTAACTTGTTGTTGATTCGTATTACTTGAAGACAGATTCGACTGATTTGTCGTTGAGTTATATCATAACCCTGTTTTTTTTTTTTTTATATAAAGGGTGTACAAAAAGTGTACGAGTCTAGGTGTTAAGTCTATCCGATCCTTACATAATACGATTTCAAAAATGAATACAGTTTTTTTAGGAGTAATATTCAGTATTAACAGAATGTAAGTTGTAACACACCACACTCTGGTTTTTCATTAAGTACAGTAGCGGCTTGTAGCGGAGACTTTGAAATTAATTTTCAACACATAGCTAAGATTAGCCAAGATTTGAATCATGTTTAGTCGAGATTCCAACTAATTATTTTTCATTATTTTAATCAGATATAATAAGGAATCAATTAAGTTTCTATTTCTATCTGTTATAAAAGAGAGAATCCCTTACGAAAAAAATACGAAAAAACTCAATTTTGGGTGTTAACACTCAAATTTAGGTGTTTATCCTCAGTTTTTGGGTGTTTGATTTAAAATTGAGGGTTTTTTCGTAAGGGATCAAAGTCTCTGTCTGATATAATGTTGAATTATTTTATTGAAAAATCAAAGTCCCGACAAGATAGAGAGACAGATTCAAAGTAATTTTAATGAAATACGAATATGTAATTTTAATAATACGTTCGTATTTGTTACAGCCTTTTTTCTGCAAATAATATCACTTGTGGAGTAACTTCACGTGATCTCCAAATAAGCGCCATCATGGAACGCCTCCCTTTTTTTCGCTGCTTATTGCTACTACGTTAATCAAACGCTTTGCCCGTATCGTAACTCCTCTGATCTCGTTTCATCTCTGTCTTCCCGAGTGTAGGAACCGTCGTGTCGTCGATAAATTGTGTCGCCGACACGGATAAACACGACTCTTTCCCGCGAAAGAGAAGAGGAGGGCACGAACATCGCTGACCGGATCACTTACGTGTCCAGCATATCAATCGGGACATCCTGTTTGTCACGAATCATGCGCTTCGCGAACGTATAAGCGCGTAGCGCGCTCACTGCTCTCGGTACTGCTTTTCGATCGCTCGATAACCGAGAGTGCGGTTTTTGCAATACGTCAGTTTTTTGTGCGAATTTGTTTTCTCAAAAGTCTACAAGGAATCACAGCCGCTTTATCGTAAAAGGGCCGAGTTCGCCCCTTTCCTGTGGCCGGCGTATCAAAAGTGAGTGATACGATTTTTCGTCAACTTGAGACTGCAGAATGTGCGAGAGAGTGTGTGTGTGTCTGTGGTATGTATATGCGCATTAGGATAAGAAAGAGATAGAAGAAAGAAAGAGCAAAAAATAGAAATTAATAATGAAACATAAAATTGGTCAAACATGTATGTGGAGAGAAGTTAAAACGATAGAGAGGTTATGTTTGTAAGAAACTTGCGATTGGATGATGTGTAATTGTGGGAATGGATATAAAGTTGCATATGTATGTACATGCATACGTATATGTGTGTGTGTGGGGTCAAGTATGTGATGAGAAAAATGACGTATAAGGTGAGGTTAACATAGCGAAGGAGAAATAGTCGTTATCTTGATAAAATATTTGATTTGTCACAAAATTATCCAAATAAATAACAACAATAAATGTAATACAAAAACAAAACACAGAAATTAGATTGACAAGTTAATGACTAGACTGTGCGTTGCGTGTATATAACGTAATGGATGTAAGGTTTATGTGTGTGCTTGTATGTGTATTTGTAATAGAGTGACGTACAAGTGAGAGAGGAAGAGAGAGGTTTGTCGTTTCGGATGAGTATCTCTTTCTATTTTCCTTGTTAGAAAGAGAAAGAGATAAAGACGAGATCAAGATGAGATCAAGAAGAGATTATATCGATAAGAGTATTAAATGATAAAATGATACTCAAGTGTAACGATATGTTTGGCGAGCTTTACAAACAGAATGACGTGTAAGGTTATAAGACAGGTGGGAGAAGAGAGGAGGGGGCGCTTGTTTTCGTCCTTGACGAGTTCTCCTGGAACGAGGACAAATGGAAAGAGAAAAAGAGTGTATCTGTTAATTTATCGATTGACTTAATTAAGAAAAGTCGTAATAAAAAATTGAATGCCATGTGTTACAGTTCTTGAGCGGAATAGGGAGTCGCGATTGTGTGTACATGAGGTACTTAGAGTATCGGTTTGGCAGACTTGTATTTTAGAATTCGTAATTCTTCTAATAATAATTTGAACTTTATAATTTACATTATAATTATGAACATTGATTACATATCACTTATATAGGCGACTCAAAAGATGACAACAAAGGAAGAAGGTCCTTCAAAGCCATCAGGTTCTACAGATGAGAAAGAGAAAGATGACAGGATGTTCGAATGTAACATCTGTCTGGATACAGCCAAGGATGCAGTGGTCAGTATGTGCGGCCACTTGTTCTGGTAAATATCTTGTCTGATTTGATAAATAGGGTACAGAACATTTGCAGCAGTCTCAATAATATGAGCATAAAACTGCAGTTGGCCATGTTTACATCAGTGGTTAGAGACCAGACCTGCCAGACAAGTCTGCCCAGTATGCAAAGCTGCTATAAGCAAGGAAAAAGTCATTCCATTGTACGGTCGTGGCGCTACAAAGCATGAGGATCCCAGGTAACTTGTTTTTCTTTTATCAAAATTGAAATTACCATGGGGATGGAATTATGTTTAATAAATTTGTAATTAGAGAAAAAGTTACAAATGACTAATGATATCCAATCAAGAAAATATTTAAAGGTTAATAAGATTCTGTAGGCAGGTATTGGAACAATCAAACAAATAAAAACTTGATATTATACATATATAGCTAATAAGTATAACATTTATTAGTTAATATATCTAAGTGTTTCAGTCTTTAACCAGATTCTTTTCAATGGAAGTCACAAAAATATGAACATTTGACAGTATATTTCTTTGTTTGGTGGATTTGCTTTCTTTGTCCACTGTTCTTATTATGTTAATATATATTTTCCACTGAAGAAACTTCAGTTGAGGACTGAGACGTAGGGTACATTAACTAATAAATTTTATATACTTATATATTGACTATATATGTAAGTCACAATTTCAAGTTTTCACTTGTTTGATCACACTAGTATATCTGCACAGGCTCTTATTGATTCTTAAACATTAATTTGTAGTTATTTGTTTGCCTTACAATTTGTTTGCTCTGTACAATAATGTAGGGATTATTGTATACATAACTGAGACTCTTAAAATGAAACTTTGCCTTTCAGAAATAATGTACCGCCACGTCCGGTCGGTCAAAGGACAGAGCCTGAAACCAACATGGGCTTCTCTGGCTTTGGTTTCGGCGATGGTTCCTATATGTCGTTCGGCATCGGTACTTTTCCTTTTGCTTTTTTTACTTCGACTTTTAATTTTGGAGAAACACGACCAAGCCCAGGTAACGTCTTTTTCTAATGTTCTAAAAAAAAAAAAGAAAACAGGATATTTCGATAACTAAATAAGGTAACATAATTCAATTCAATCCGCAATTTATAAGAATAAAAAAGGAAATTTTTTTTATAGCTCCCAGAGGCACACCACAATATGAGGAGGAACAGTTTTTGTCGAAGGTATTTTTGTGGTTAGCGTTGATATTCATTTGCTGGCTGCTAATGGCATAACGTCTACTAAATCACGCCAGTCTGCCCTGTGAATCTTATATGATTTTTATCTAATCGTCGTGATTAATTCATGATGTTCGATCAGCAATATGTCTCTCGGTCTCTGTCTATTTTAGAAACCAAATTTTCTTTGAAAAGAAGAAAAAAAAATGATCTTATATCTCAGGAATGATTAAAAAACTAAGATTACTAATTCGTTTCTTCCTACTTTCGTGCCGGAGCGGAGAATTGAATGGGAAAACACGCTCTCAGCAAAATATTTAAAATTTCGTTGATATTTCGTGTGGAACGACTTTTCTCCGACTTTGGACAATTCTGATATTTCGATGTGTCTCTTTTAAGTAATATGTATATAAATATATTATCCGTAGAGAAAAGCGCGTAAGCTGCTACCCGATATATTTAAAGCTTGAAAACGATACCCGATATATTGTATAGCTTGAAAACGAGAATGCAGAGAAGGGATATAATTAAGAAGTATATCTTTAAGACGTAATATAAACATTTTCTGCGAGAAACTATGAGCAAATATTTGAGCATAATGTATATATACGTATTCTACAGAGTTTAAACTAATAGGCCGGTATTCATAGTCAGATCTTATATTTAAGATCATTTTAAGTATCGTTTTAAGATATCATGAACCAATCACAGAGCTGTATTCGCATCTTAAGACATTACTTAAGACGATCTTGAAATAAGATTGGACTATGAATACCGGCCATAAAGTATATTGTAATATATAATGTGCGACTTAAAACGCGAGTTCTGGCGAGAATATTACCGGAGTAGTGTCATTATCCAATTAGTTCGTTTTGCGATTTTCTTTTTCCTGCTATAAAATTCTGCAATCCCGCAGATTGGCATGACTTGCGTAAATTATAATATGAATAGTGTGAATTGTTTTAATTACTTTATATATTTTACGAGGAAGAATCCAAATGACGAAAATGCTGAGCATTTTTTTTTCATACATTTGATTGTCGAGAAATAAAACAATAATTTATCAGCAACTATCATTTATTCGCATATGCTACATTGTTCGATTAATTATATACTTTTAGAACTTAAGATGATTGAAAAAGAAATTGCGAAATAGCGAAATTATCGTGATGGTAAGTAAAAAAAAATTGATCTCAAATGCAAGTGTACAATTCGTAATTGAAAGCCTATGTTCTTTTGATATAATAACGCGGTTACAAAGTTAAAAAAAATTACTCGAAATTAATTGTATGTAAGCGTAAAGGACCTCACGTGCATAATATACAATTCCATCATACCATAGATCAGTTGCTTTTATCACAGATTGCAGCTCTGCAGGGAGATACATATTCCCTCCTGTCCTTATTAACGCAGTAAAGAGACGACGAAAGAGATAATAATTAGTACATCTAAAGATTATCAAATTATTCACTTTTTGTGCAATATGCCTGTTACATCTGAGGTACTATTAAAATGTGACTTATATTCGGATATCTACAGCTTGTGCTAGACATAAACCTTCTAAAGAATTATTAAAGTAACAGAAATTGCATAAAATATAACGATTTTCTTATTTATATACTATTATGGAAAATTAAAAAAAAAACAAATAAAAACTTTTATATGATTTAACAATGCACGTTAAGTTATAATATATGCATCTTACATGTTTATTAAAATTATATATATAATGTATACTATGCAATTTATTTCGAGATCAATTTAAAGTATTTCTAAGGTAATTTGCTTACTATACGTTTCTAGGTTTTTGACTTTAGCATGGCTTTATAAATGGCCTTTTAAGAATAACTTTTTCTCTCTTCCTTAAGTTGTATACATAGGTTTTTGACCAGTTTTGACAAGCTACGCTCTGTAGTGCGTGTATATTAATTGGACGCTTGTCCTTTACATCTCGTCCTTATTATCTTTAATCTTTTTGGTGAAACCTTTGGAGACTAGTAAGTCATTGCACTCTTCCCGAGTCAATTTGGACAGCACCAATCTCTCCACTTCCTGTAATATTTTCAGTAAATTACTTTTTATTATTTTTTATCCTATTATAAATTCGTATTATCTTGTTCTACCTCTTCATGCTCGTTGAAAAGTACAAGCTCTGGAATTGCACCCTGAATATGTTTGAATTCCACGTTATCACTATATATACTTATTAAGGAAAATACAGAATTCTGAGAATATGAAATAAATAAATAATATAAGAGAAAATAAATTTTGCATACTTATAGATACTTTTAATTGTTATTTTCTTTTAAAATCTATACATACAGAAAGTATTTAAAATGACTGATTACAGCTGTGCAATTTCGTAAGATCAAGTACAAAAAAAATATAATTATATGAAATAATAATAGTTACGAAATATTTAAAGTAGTTACAAAACGGGACAATATTAAGTAACAAAAATTACATTATGAAGGATACTATTGCGGAAGATCCTCGAAGATGAACTGCTTGAGATGTGGCAGCCGGTTGAGCGAGCAACCGCTACAGCTCTGAGAAATAAATAAAGTGAACAATAATCATATTACAAAAGTAATATATGCTAAATACATGCACGATCTCTCGATATACGCAGCGTTACTTGAATGACAAGTATTTGTTGGAGCTGATAATAATCGGAATGCGACATGACAATGCCGAAAACTTAGCGGCGCGAACGCAACATGTTTGCTGAATTTATGTTGAATAAACGCGTTGTACAAGAGTGACTTAGTATAAAAATGAAAGAACGTTACCTCGACTTTCGCAAATGCGTAATATTTGCTCGCAGAATTTGCGAGGGAAACGAAGGACAGAGCGAATACGAGCACGAAGGAATAGCAGACAGCCGCGGCGGGCGCCATATTTGTCATTTAACTTTAAGGGGAAAAGTGTTCAATGTTCAATGTTCAATTTTGGCTGGGTACACCTAGCCTTTAGTGACCCCACGCCATTGCTCAAGGGGAAAAGTGAAAGTGATGATTTTTAGATTGTGCGTTCGTTTTGAATACTTTTGCGCCAAAAGCGTCACTCTATCTTTATTGTTTTTTATTACATGTTCAAGGAAAATAGCTGTAAATATAAGAGAGAATTCACACTTTGGCAGAAAAGCAGAAAATAAAAGGCAAAAATCAATTCGCGCTGGTGGTTAGTTGACAGTTTCTGTTTTTCTGCTAAAGCTTCTCCCTAAGCTAACATATGGCATTGCTTATTGAATTCCATCTATCATTTAATATAGGGTGCTTTCCAATTACTTACACATCTTGACACACACGTACCAAATTAGTTTATTGGTCACATATTGGGTGCTTTCCAGTTGCGTACACTATGTTACACAAAACCAGTTTATTGGTTGCATATTATCTTACAAGATATTTTAGATAATATGTGACCAATAAACTGGTTTTGTGTACATGTGTGTCAAGATGTGTTAAGCAATTGGAAAGCACCCATAATTGACCAATCCGAATTCCTATTTTTAGTTCCTATCACCTCAGACTGCGTTCAGATTCCACACCCGGGTGTATTCTATTACTAGAAGTGCTATAGTATATGTAACATATACTATAGTGTTTCTAGTAATAGAGTGCACCTGGATGAAGAATCTGAACGCACCCTCATATAAGGATTGGAGAATGTCGTATGGGGATAACCTTTTTCCCCGGAGCCAATACAGAACAGAACAGAACAGATTTTTAGTTCCTATCACCTCAGACTGCGTTCAGATTCCACACCCGGGTGTATTCTATTACTAGAAGTGCTATAGTATATGTAACATATACTATAGTGTTTCTAGTAATAGAGTGCACCTGGATGAAGAATCTGAACGCACCCTCATATAAGGATTGGAGAATGTCGTATGGGGATAACCTTTTTCCCCGGAGCCAATACAGAACAGAACAGAACAGATTTTTAGTTCCTATCATGATTGTCAATTAAATGTACTCACCGAGGTTGCGTTCCGTTGCACGCATTATGCGCGCATTGCCTACAATATACGTAACACGAACTATAGATAAATGCGTGCATATGCGTGAAACGGAACGCGGCCCGAGTAAAATTATGGAACGCAGCCCAAGGTGTTTATTCTAGAAAAATTCCGAAGTCTCCGCTACGAGTCGCCATCATCTACGTCGGCCAATTGCGTAGTGATAGATTTAAGGTAGTCATAGAACAATTAAGTTAGTGATAGATTCAATTTCATTCGAAAAATGAGTAATTTCATTTTGGTGTGAACGCGACGAATGCAATGTCAGTGCAAAATAAGAATTAATTGCGTGATGAGTAATGAATGAATAAAGTATTGTAGTCGAATAATTGATTGAAGCAAGCGCGAGAAATGACAATAACCTGGTAATAATTTGTTGAATGGAATGGATCGAAAAATGTACTGATTCTGTTGATTAGGTTAAGTTAGGTAAACAAACATTCTACACGTGTTTCAATAAATATTTATAATCATGTCGTTTCACCGCGAAAGAAAGAACGCGACAGATGAAAAGGTGAGTCAAGAAGCAAAAAATTCAGCCGTTATATATAAGATGTCCGAAGCTAATTGATGAAATAGAATTAGACTTCTTTAGAAGTACTAACAAATTTCTTGTTTTTTTCTGTTACCTGATCTTTTACTCTCTTTTAATTTCTAATATTGAGTCGTTTAGTTAATTTTATGTTAAATTTAACTAATAAATATAAAAAATTTCTATTTATGTATTTATTGTATATGTGCTTCTAATATTCTGGACTTACAATATTTTGCAGGAGAACATGGAGGACATCACGTCAGACTTTGTGTGCTTTAAGATATCTGCTCTCAAGAAAGTAGCGCGTATATCAATGGCAGAAGTAAATAATGTAACAATTGGACCTCAGTCGATAATGAATAAAAGTGATACTAATGATAATGTGGAGAATATCCAGGATGAACAAAATTCCTCTAACAACAAGAACCTGCAGAAGATTAATACCAGTCCTAAGTACCATTCAATATCGACTTTAAATGGTACATCCTTTTCAGTCAAAAAGATTTTTCAGGAGAACGAGCTGCAAAGAAAGGAAGAAGTTAGGGTAAGTTGAATATTAAATAATAGTTGGTTATACTTACAGATGAGATTCAGTGTTATTACACAAATATTTCTTTGTCAATAAACGTATATTGCTAGTATATACTATTGTATATACTATTGTAGTCTTAATTATAGTTACAATTAAATTACTTAAAACGTTATTTTTGTTAAATAAATTAAATATTCTCATATATTAGTGCAATTTTGTATCCTTATATCCTGACTGTATTGTAGAAAAAAATGGAGCATCGTATCCAATGTATGAATGAAAACAGTCGTGTTATCAAAGAAGAAATGGAGAAAATGCGTATGTCAATGGCACATGAACGTGAGCGCAGAAATGCTGAGTACTTGGCAGATATTCTAGCAGAAGAAGAGCGTATAGCCAAGGAAGAGGAGATGAAGAGACAGCACGAACAACAATTATATGCACAACGTGTTCAAGAGCAAAAGGAGAGACTCGAACGCGAAATGGAGGAGTACAGGAAACGGATGAAAGAGAAAGAAGAGTTAATAAGAGCTATAGTGATCCAGCGTGGCCACTTCACAGCTAAATATTGTGATATAGTGTCATTATCTAAGACTTGCAAGGATAAGCATGCTTTAAATGTATTCTTCGCAACAAATGGAGCAAGGATCAAAGAACTGTGCCAACAAATTGAGGCCATAGACGAAAAAATCAGAGTAATTATTAAAAAAAGTATTAATAAATGTTTCTTGACAAAATATGCTGACTATCGAGTCGTGATTTCTTGAAAAATAATCGTAGATTTATTAAATGTACAAAGTCTATTTTTTTTTAAATTTTGTACATTTAAGAATTCTGTATAAAATTCTGTGAATTGTTGCTTATTTTTTTTTTACTGTAATTTTTATATAATATGAATATTTCATATAAATAACATTTCTGTTTTGTGTAGAGCGGTGACATGGTAATTACAGATGTGAATTCAATTGAAACTTTGGTTCATCACATTGAGGACATGCTAAGTTTATTTCGAGCGGAGATGGGTTGGTGGATTTTTTATAAACAGTTTGGTATTATGAGCTTTTCTTATATGTATCTCGTACATTATAGAAAAAGCAGACGCTCAATATGAAGCAGAGTTGGCTCGCAAAGCGCAAATTGATAGTGCGATTCAAGCTCCAGTACCAGAGACTGAAAGTATAACAGTCAACAAAGTGGTCAACACGGTGGTTCCTTCTCAACAGCTTGTTGAAAGCAATACTGTGGAAAAAGAAAATATGAATCAAGACGTCAGTGCGGTAACAAACAAGGAAGTAGCTGTACCTGTCGCATCAAACGCTACTAACGTGTTGATCGAACCGTCCACATCTGATCCTAAACCGGAAGAAGCGCCTAAGGATACTGCAGAATGTAAAGATGGTACTGGTTGCTGTGTAACTGCTGCAATACATTTAATTAATTTCAAGTAGATAAATTAATCGATTAATGTATTTGTGTTGCGCATTTACAGGCTGTTCTTATGAATATGTCGACCACGAGTCGCTGAACATTTATAACAGAAGCCGACAATTCTTGGCCGCTTATAGACAGAGTTACAAGGATTTCTTACAATCGCCTGATACTAAAAAATTACGCTTCGAGTGCCAGAAAGCAATTAATATTCCAGTGAATGCGATTGCCGGTACTAGTGAGCAACACTTGAGAGACAAATACGATAGGCTGCAGAGTCTCCTAACTGGAAGATCGACTCCTAATCTGATACAGCATCCGCAAGGAACATTTTTCTGCAAGGATCATGTAGCGAAAAAGATAGTTGTATGTCATTTTACACAAAAATTTAAAAAAATTTTTCTCTATGACTTCAGAAATTAATATATTTTCTACATATCACGAATATAAATTTACAGAACCAAGGCGAAACACTAGTATCTAGTAAACCAGAAATGGCCTTTCCCATCGCGGCGATAGTAGTTGCTCTCTGGAACGAGCATACCGATTTTGGTGAGCTTGTCTTGGCACATCTACACGAAGCATGCCCTTTTATTGTACCAGTCTTCCCGTTGCGACAAAAAGATCAATCAAACGAGGACTATTATAAGTCTCTTGGCTGTAAATATTCCGAGGACGGTACCTTCGAAAAGCAGGACAAGTACTTAAAACGAATGTCGGGTTTGATGAGACTATATGTGTCGATTACTGTCACTCAGCAGAGGAAAGGTATCACCAAGACTCATCCCCATGGTCTTCAGTACGCCTGGCGATGGTTAGCAGCCGTTTTGAATATCGGTAGGAAGAGAATAACCAATACATTATGTCCTACTTTCTCCTCTCTAAATACAATCCTCATGCACGATATCGCAATTTTATTGAACAGCGAATTTATATCTTTGATTTGCAGAACCAAGAGCTGACACGTGCGATCTGTGCGCTACTTTAATATTGGACATGCTTGAGGTAGCCGGGAACGTGCTATGGACTGTTTATCCGAGTCAGTTTCGTAAGTTATTGATACTGTTAATAGAGGAGTATTATCCCCGTATGCAGAACATTGCTGACGGTGGTGGACCTCTGGTGCGGTTGGAGGAGTTCCTGAACAATGCTCTGGCGCAGAATATTATACGTGTCGCTGATGGAATGCTTTTGCCTAACTTCTGGTGATCTTGTTTTGCGAAATATTGTCTATACAACTTAAACATAAGCTGAATTTAAATCTGTCTAGTAAGTCGTTTAGGAATGTACGACAGTCTCAAAAATTCGAATTTTGGATGTTACTTTAGGAATGCTCGAAAATTTCAATTAACAGTAAGAATTGAAGAGGCAAATAAGGAGTACAGCACGGATGTCTTAGTGCTATTAAATATTAATATTACTTTTAATATTAGTATAATTATACTAATATTAATTAGTATAATTATAATATTTAATATAATATTAATATGATAGTGGGAGGATAATTATGTCCAGCATGTCAAACGCACGTATCGAAATTTTTCTTCGATTAACGTACGCGGTGTATCTACCTTTCGTACTTAGACCGATCCTTGAGTCCCAATTTTATATATATATATATATATATATATATATATATATATATATATATATATATATATATATAT